AAGGAAAGTCTGATGTTCAGTTGTGTTCAATTTTTCATGACTCCATTTGGGGTTTTCTTGGCAAAGATACTAGAGTGGTTTGACATTGCCTTCTCCGGCTCATTTTATAGATGAGGAAATTGAGTTAAACAGATTAAGTGACTTGCCCAGCATCACACAACTACCAAGTGTCTGAGGCTGAATTTGAATTCAGGTCTTCCTGACTCCAGGCCGAGTGCTCTTGTCTCTGTACCACCTAGCTGTCTCTTCTTTTTAGGTAATGAATTAGTTTGAGCCCACACCCCAGTTTATTAAATATTAATGCTTCATATTTAATCATGGAACACAGTCATAATAATATGTCTCTTCTGATGAGCTCACCAGTTCCCATGAGTTCAGCTATCATCTCTATAAACAGATGATCCCCAGATAAATGTGTCCAACCCTATTCTCTCTCCTGAGGCCCAATCCCACATCACCAGTCACCTTTTGGAAATCTCAAACTGAATGTCCCATAGGCATCTCAAACTCAACATATCAAGTCAACAAGCATTTTCAAAGTACCTACTGTGTGCCAGGCACCTTATTAAATGCTGGCCTGGGAAAGTGGTACTACCCTCGACAGTCAGGAAAGGTAAGAAGAGTGAAGAAAATGAGTTCAGTTTTGGACACGATGAGTTTATGATGTTTGTGGGACATCAGCTCAAGATGGTCAATAGGCAGTGAAGATATGAAGCTAGAGATTAGGAGAGAGGTTAGGGCTGCATAAATAGCATAGAGATCATCACCAAACTCATTATCATTCCCTCTTAAAGCCCTCCCCTCTTCTGAATTACCTACTCCTTTTGAAGGCACTGCCATCTTGCCAGTCACCTAGTTTCAATGTCTTGGTATCATCTTCAACTCCTCCCTCACACCCCCCTCACGTATGCAATCTGATGCCTAATCTTGTTTCTCTTTTCACACCATCTCTCACATACATCCCGTCTTCCCCACTCACACAGCCACCACCCTAGTTTGGGTCTTTGTCACCTTTTGCCTAGAGACTATCACTAACCATAACTGGTCTTCCTGCCTCAAGTCTCTCCCTACTCCAGTCCATACTTTTTCAGTGCTTAGAGCACATGTCTGACCATGCCCACCCCCAGACACACACACACACACACACACACATACACACACTCACACTCACACTCACACTCAGTTAACACCAATAGTTCCCTGTTATGTGTAGGATCAAACATAATGTCCTTTGGTAGTTAAAGTTCTTCATAACCCAACCCCTTTCTGCCCTTCCCATTTTCTCACACTTAACTCTCCTCTAACTAACGGCCCATTGTAGCCCCACTGGCTTATCTGCTGCTCCTCACATGTGGCACTCCCTCTCCATACCTTTTCCATGGCTGTGGCCCAGTGGAATGCTCTGTCTCTTTATTCTTGCCTCTTCCAATCTCAGCTTAACCAATAGGCAGCCTCCCCAAATCCTCCTACCCAAAGTTACCTTGTGCCTTTGATTCAGGAATCGTTTATGTACTTAATTGTTCATACATTATCTCCTCCACCAGAATGTAAGCTCCTTGAGGGTAGGGATTGTTTTTGCCTTTTTTTTTTTTTTTTTCGTATTCTCAGAGCTTACTCAGCACAGTGCCTTACACACCATATTTTGTTGTTTGGTTGTTTCAGTTGAGTCAGTCTCTTTGTAACTCCATTTTGGGGGTTTTTTTGGCAAAGATACTAGAGTGGTTTGCCACTTCCTTCCCCAGTTCATTTTACAGATGAGGAAACTGAGGCAAACAGGGTGAAGTGACTTGCCCAGGGTCACCCAGTTAGTAAGTGTCTGAGGCTGGATTTGAACTCAGGAAGATGAGTCTTCCTGACTCCACTGTGTCACCTCACTGCCCAATACCAATTGTCCGATGTTGTTCGGTCATATCTGACTCTTTGTGACCCCATTTGGGGTTTTCTTGGCAGAGATACTGGAGTGGTTTGCCATTTCTTTTTGCAGCTCATTTTACAGATGAGGAAACTGAGGCAAATCGAGTGAAGTGACTTGCCCAGGATCACACAGCAAGTAAGTGTCTGAGGCCAGATTTGAACTCAGGTCTTCTTGACTACAGGCCTGGCACTCTATCCACTTTGCTGCCTAATGTCTGTTGATTGATTGCTAAGCGAGAAAGACCTTCTTTCTCAATTATTTAACTATTCTTATGTAAGTAGTAAAATTACTGAATATGTATAATTTATTAACAAATAGAACCTATAATGAACATAAACATTTATTCAGCAAGTACTCTCTGACCTCATTCTCCCAAAGCAATGTTAGCTACAGCTCCTCCCCTGACGGGTAGTAAGGTGGCTCTTTCTCCAAAACTATTACCTGGAGTTCTCATTCTGAGTGTATTCTCACATTGCTAAGTGCCAATTCCGTTTAACCAACTAATACCAATTACCTTCTACAAAGGGATATTTACTTTAAAGATATAGTAAGAAATAGAGACATAACATCTCAAAGACACACCCTCCCCAGCTGGGGAAAGCGGGTTCAAACTTAGTGCGTTTTTTACTTAGCATCGATCCCACCAATGTGGCATTGCTGTTGAATGAGGCCCTGATTCAGCTATGGCTAGGCTGGTCCTGAAGGTCGCTACCTGGGGTCTCATAGGTGATCTGGCACAAAATCCAGCACAGATCTACTCCCACACCTCCAGGATCTCAGGTGGCTCACTCTCCTGACCTTTAGGAACTCACAAGGTTGTTGTCTACACATTAACATCCTTCACCAAAAATGAAAGAGCAAATGCCCAGGCAGAAACTTGAGGCTCGTATTCATGGACCACATGCTAGCCTCAGAAGGACAGAACCTGAGGTTTCTGTCACCAAATTTTCTTTCCCTTGAAGCCATCAGCCAGGAAGAAGTCACAGAAAAAGAAGGATCAAACCAAGAGAGGAGGATAAGGCTAACTAGTCATTCATTCAGTCAATAAATATGCATTTATTAAGTGCCTATTGCACACCAGGCAGCTAGAGTGCAGTGGATAAAGTGCTGGGCCCAGAGGCAGCACGGCTCCTCTTCCTGAGTTCAAATCTGTTTCAGACACTTCCTAGCTGTATGACCCTGGACAAGTCACTTTACCCTGTTTGCCTCAGTTTCCTCATCTATAAAGTGATCTGGAGAAGGAAATGTCAAACCACTCCATTATCTTTGCCAAGAAAACCCCATGGACTTTGTCCAGGGAAGTCAGTACAGTTGGACGCAACTGAACAACAAATGTAGTACATGTTGTCTCCAAAAATTGAATGTAAATTCCTCCAGGGCAGAGGTTATTTAATTAGTGTCTTTGTACCTTTCAGTGTCTAGCAAACAGTAAGTACTTAATAAATACTTACTGTTTAATAGATTGAAAATCATTATGTACCCATTTTCTTGGCCACATTGCCAGTGCTCTCAACTCATCTTTTTTTTTTTTCAGCCAGAGACAAGGTTTGCTAGAACATCCATCATATGGGGCAGACTCTTAAGGAGTCTGAACATTAGTAAGCTATTGGTTAGTTTTTAAGAATCTAAGCTGTGGCTAGATTTTAGGAATCTGAGCAGTGGCTAGATTACAAGAATCTAAGCAGTGGCTATATTTTAGGAATCTGAGCAGTGGCTAGATTACAAGAATCTAAGCAGTGGCTAGATTTTAGGAATCTGAGCAGTGGCTAGATTACAAGAATCTAAGCAGTGGCTAGATTTTAAGAAGCCTCTTAATGGACACAAGATGGACCTTATATACAGAAAGATTATGGGAGGAATCTAGAAGTGGCCAAGCAGTTTATGAGGTAATAAATTCCAGGGACCTGGGCCACATGGCCAAAGGAGAATGGAGAAATGGCCCAGGGAGGTCCACAGTGAAAGGCTAGTTGATGGGATTATAGCCTCAGGGGAACACCAGAGATTTGGTCATGTGGGAAAGCCCAGGGTTTTTCCTTTCTGGGGCCCAGATCCCAACCCTATCATTCCCTCCTCAAACAAATAGGAACCCAAATTCTTTTGGGGTAAGGGGCAAAGTTCTCGGCTTCTGAAACTGCTTCCTGCTAGCAAGGGGCGTAGAGCTGTCCCTGCGTTGAGGGGGTCCCAAAGAGGAGGTTGACTGAAACAGAGAGCAAGATGCATCCAGGGAATGATGTGGGGACGTTGGCTGGTACTCGCTGTTTGCTACCAACTGTAGGTGAATGACCTATAGTCTGGAAGACACAAATCTGACAGAAAAGACTTCAAGGTCCAGATATAAAACAGGGACTAGAGATTTAGGGCTCAAATATGAGAGGATAAAACATCCTTAGCTCTATTTGGATTCTGATAATTCAGTTTTCCAACCGTGCTATATTAAATCCACCTCACAGCCAGACTCAAGAGTAGCCAGGTGGGTAACATTCCCTTTCAAAGGAACATAATGGGGAAACTGAGCCAGGAGGATCCCATCTTAGACTGAGGCTAAAATTGTCATCTCAGCTTTTCCAATGCTAACTTCTTACCAGTATCACCTTCTCTGAGTAGCTTGTGGCATTTCTCTCAGATGGTGGATTATTGATTATCGATGGATCATAACCCATCAGACAACTCAAAATAAAATCCTATGAGCTTTTACCTCAAACAGCAAGTTTCACTAATCACAGTTTAGAAAAACTTTTCCAGGATTTACATCTCAAACTTAAATTTGTCCTGGTGTAAAAAGTCATTCATTAGATTTCTATACACTTGCAAATTCTCAGCAAGCCATAACCCAAGCAAGCTTCTCAGCTAGTTTACACATTAAAACAATAACCAATAATAGCTAAATTATTTTAGCAGTAACCAAATTATGAAAAGTTGCTTGACATAACTGATACAAAAAGTTCACCAATTTGAAACTTGAAACAAACCCATTATTAATCAGGTGACTTCAGTTTTGTCAAATGCGTTTCCAAGCTGCTTTACACAGAGAGTCAATGTCTCATCATTAACAGTTAAAACTACAAGTTTAAAAGAGCATGCTTACCCAAGTTCAGAGGCCAGCTTCTTTACCTTGGACAGGATGTGCTGAACCTAGGTGATGCTTCCAGGCAAAGGTTGCCCCAGAGCTCAAGGCCATTGCCGGGGGTGCCCACGAGGTTGCTGCAGCCCCTCCCCCATCCTTCCTTTCCGAGGTGGGGGAGGGCGAAATCAAAGGTGAGGGGTAAAGGGTAAAACTCTCTTCTCCTATGAGAGGGGTTAATAGATACTCTCTTGACTCAAGCGAAGGGAGTGGGAGAAAAGAGTGACCAGGGTTGTAAGGAGGAGTTCTAAACTCCTTAATGATCAATCACAAAACCTCCAGAATCTGCCAAGATATTTTTAGCTGTTCTACCTTTACCTATAACTTCCATTAAGGAGGATTCAGAGGTGCAAAAGGAAGGGAATAAGTAAGCCTCAGGGAACCAAAAAGCAACTGCAGTTGTCCCCAATTCGCTAGCATCGAGGGAATTCATATACTTCCGGATAGGGAATCCATCCTTGTCCTCTATGGTGGGGAAGGTGTACCCAAGTCCATGGCCTTGAACCAACCCAGTGGACCAAGAGCCTGAGAGTGTCAGGCTGAGTGTGAGACAACCTCGTAACTGTCTGCTAAAAAAGCACCTCCAAGCCTTGGTGCTTGAAGAGCGACCCCAACTGCAGAGCAAGAAAGGAGGGGAGGGGGGAGGCTTACATATCTTCCAGTCTTGGCTGGAAAAGAACTTGGAGTTAGGCAGTTTCCCCGTACGGGCCACCAAAATGATGTTGTTTAGGGGTTCAGGGGTGCTGGGACCCCCAAATCACAACAAGCGGGTCCTGCTCAAAAGAATTCGACCCAAGCCTTCTTTCAGCCAGAGACAAGGCTTATTAGAACATCCATCATATTGGGCAAACTCTTAAGGAGTCTGAACATTAGTAAGCTATTGGCTAGACATGAAGAATCTAAGCCATGGCTAGATTTTAGGAATCTGAGCAGTGGCTAGATTTTAAGAATCTAAGCCCCTCTCAACTCATCTTACAGCAAGAAGTTGAGGCCTTGGCCTTCTGGTCAGTCCTTTCTGGACATTTTACACTTAGGTATCTAGTCCAACTGTACTTGACCAAGAATTCCTTTGACAACATTCCCAAGTGATCGTGAAGCTGTCTCATGGAGACCTCCAGTGAGGCAAGGTGGTCTCCATTTGTTTATTCTGCCCGAATTTTCCAATACCAAAACAAATGAAAGGATTCACCTTGAAGTTGTCAAAGTCTTCCTTTTGTGTTCCAGGACAGTGATTTCACTGGCAGGGGGTGCTCTGGATAAGGACACGCCCTATTTATACAATACACAAAAATGCACTCCCATCTGAGGCTACCTATTTCACTTTTGGAAGTTTGGATAGTTCTAATTGTGGGGAAGGTTTTCCTTATGTCAAACCATTGAGGTGACGCAGTGGATAGAACACCTTGCCTAGGGTTAGGAAGACCTGAGTTCAAATCTGTACTCAGACACTTACAACTTGTGAGACACTGAGCAAGTCTGCCTCAGTTTCCCCAACAGTAAAATGAACTGGAGAAGAAAATGGCAAACCACTACAGTATCTTCACCAAGAAAACCCCAGACAGGGTCACAAAGAGTCAGAGAACAAGTAAGCAACAACCAAATCCCATCTTCCGCGAGAAGTCTTTCCCAAACACCCCCTGTTGATCATCTCTGATTTATCCTGTGTAGATCATTTGTACTTAGTTGTTGGCAGACTGTCTCCCCTTCCCGCCCTTAGATTATGAACTCCCTGAAAGCAGGGACTGTCCTTTGCCTTTCTTTATGCCCCCAGAGCTTTGCACAGTTCCTGAAATATAATAGGTACCTAATAAATGCTTGTTGATATGATTTACCAACTGGTCACTCAACCAAGTCTTAAATCCACCTAACACCTAACACTTGATTTGGACCACATCTCTCCATTGCATTCATCAGGACATCATCTACCAAGGTATCTACCAAGACACAGACTTGTAATTAGCATTGGTCACCAGATTAACCACACTGAAGAAATCAAAGATATTTGAAATATTTAAATGAAGTTGGAGGTAGATTGGGACCCTTTTGTGGGGAAGTTTGTATTTAATTCTAGCAATAAAGAGCCACAGGAGTTTTCTAAGCAGAGGAATTACATTATCTAAGTTGTGGGAAAATAAAACAAATTAGCCCTGGGAAGGACCTGAGGGGTCAAGTGGTGTTTATTTGGTTCAGCCAGTATGAGAGCCCCTAGAAGGGTTTTCACAAAGGAAGAGAGGTTGATGTGGAAGGAAACACCTCCAGAGGATTCTAGCCTTGACAGGTTGGCTAACCAAAAATAGAAAATATTGTGTGAAGATGAAAAGACTTCATTTCCTTCAGTTTGAATGTTGCCTTTGCAAGGCGAGCTCAGACTTACTGCACAGAAGAACAGCAGGGTGGAGAGAACATCTCTGCTAGGGAAGGGTGGTCCTGGACTCCAGAGTCAGGAAGGAAGGGTGGGGTCCGTGAAAGTGGTCCAGAATCAGAGCATTGTTTCTGAGAGCATGGGGTGGGTCACTGCCAGAGGTGTCCATTAAGTCTGATGCTGGAAACGAAATTCTAGTCTGCCCCCAGCCTTATCTTTGATCATTCCCCAAAGCAAACACTGAATTCCAAAGAGACTCACCTCCTTCCAGTCATCCACTGCCCTGCACATTCTTGCATTTTTTCACACAGCGCCCTCTGCCAGAAGTGCCTTCCTTCTCCAACCCCATCCTTCAAGGCCAAACTAAAATCTCATCTGATTCATGTTCCAAACCACTCCAATTCACTGTGACCTTTCCAGGGTTATGCTGACAAATGTTTAACAATCACTTTGGGGGTGGGGGGAGTGGGCCACATACTTTTAAGTTTAATCTGTGTTATTAAGATTTTCTCCATCATCTTCTTAAGCCTAGGTAATCCATAAAACATTAAGTCAAGCCCAGATTTGTACCATTTGCCAATTTCTGAGGTAAATGTTCACACTGAAAACTTAACCATCGGTTCTCCCCAATACAGCTGGTTCCAACACAACCCTGCCTCATGTAGAAGTAGTTGCCAAAGATTAGAGCTGGGAGGGCCATTAGAGATTGCCTCAGTCCTGATATTTTCTACTTGTAGAACATTTAACTTCATCTCCCTGAGCCTCAGTTTTCCCCTCTTTAAAATGTGACTGGGAGGGGGGAGGAAATGGATTAGATAACGTCAAAGGTATTTCCCAGCTCTAAACCCAAAATTAATCTAGCCTTCCCTTTTTATGGAGCATGTCTCAGATTGGAGAAGTGACACAGCAAAGCCAAGACAGGAACTCTGAATGCCTGACTCCCAGTCTCACCTTCTTATCCTTGTATAACCCTGCCCGCCGACTTGCTCTACCATATAATCTTAAGGTAATGATGGGGTTGGGATCTGGGTCCCAGAAAGGAAAAGCCCTGGACTTTTCCACATGACCAAATTTCTGGCATTCCCCTGAGGCTATAATCCCATCAACTGGCCTTCCATTGTGGACCTCCCTATGGCCCCAGGCCATTCTACCTTGGCCTTGTGGTCCAGATCCCTGGAATTCTATTACCTCATAGACTGCTTGGCCACTCCTAGATGCCTCCCATAGTCTTTCTGTATATAAGGTCCATCTTGTCTCCATTAAGAGGCTTAGATTCTTAAAATCTAGTCACTGCTCAGATTCTTATAATCTAGCTACTGCTTACCCATGTTCAGACTCCTTAAGAGTCTGCCCAATATGATGGATGTTCTAATAAACCTTGTCTTTGGCTGAAAGAAGGCTTGGGTCGAATTCTTTTGGGCAGGACCCGTGTGTTGTGTTATTGGGGTCCCAGCACCCCTGAACCCCTAAACCGCATCAGTACCACGTATTGTTATTTCCCTATATGTGTATATAAATATATACATGGCTATGTAGATTTATATGTGTATACATGTGTGTACATATATGTACCCATATATGGATATCTGTATATATTTTATTTTTTTATGTATTATATACACACTCACGTACACACCTATATCTATAGATATCTATAGATACAGATATTTGGGGAGTATATATGTAAATTGGGGTATATATATATATATACACACACACATACATATGTATGTGTGTGTACATGTATGTGTAAATAAATAGGGATGAGAGAAATGATTATTAATAACTAATGATTTGGAGAGATCCAGAGTTCTCCCTCTTTTTCTAAAGTCCTCATTTCGAGACTCAGCCTCTGAAGGATAGGACTAATGAAAGCACATAGGATGAACATTCTTCTTGATCTGGGTGACCCCACTCAACCTTACAAGGGATTTAATCTAAGGTGAAACTCTAGACTCGTGTTCTGCTTAGGCTCAGGTGGAAGATGTAGATCCTGGGGGTGATTTGGAAGTAAATGATGTGATCAAAGTTACATTTTCCTTAGCCTCCCATTATAATATTCACTCTCTCTCATTAATTGTTTTTTGGGAGGTTTTTTGTTTTGTTTTTTGATTATTATTATTATTATTATTATTATTATTATTTTGCTTTTTGGTGAGGCAATCAGGGTTAAGTGACTTGCCCAGGGTCACACAGCTAGTAAATGTCAAGTGTCTGAGGTCGGATTTGAACTCAGGTCCTCCTGACTCCAAGGTTGGAGCTCCAAACACTGAGCCATCTAGCTCCCCCTCTCTCATTAATTGTTAACCAACCAGAGTTGATTGCCACTCAGGAACACCTGTCTTCCAAGGGCATATAAACTGTGAGCCCACCACCATCTTTGGTATTCAAGACTGTCATTGACCCATTTTATTAGTAATATGCTAGTATTATTAATAAAATGATTAATTACTCAGAAACTCTGTCTCTTGAACTTTTTAAATGTCACAGGGCTATGAACTGGATCTATGATGTCAAAAGGTACTCCAGGAGGAGGAAACACCCTCTACCAATGCAGGCTGACACCCTTTCTCTAACTAATAGTCTTTAGAGAACAGCCTCAGGGCTGGAGAATCGAGTCTTCCTATTTCTGAAGCCAGCT